AACAATTGATTTAAATTATAATACATATTTGGATAAACTAGTAATTTTCTTAAATACATTTATTTAATTGATAAATAGCATAAAAATCAGAATTATCTAATGTGTCAAATTAAAAATTCATTCATAAGTAAACTTATCATGTAACCATATATCTTATAATATATTTAAAATACATAGAGTTAAAATTTTTAAAAAAATTAATCATTAAAAATCATATTAGGATAATATTCATAGATAAATTAAAATTAAACCCCTACTCTGGGTGAAATGTTCTTTGTCAAATTTTTTCATTTTTTTAATAAATTTATGATTATTTCATTATAAGAATAATAATAAATTTAATAGACACACAAATATTATAAAATATTAAAATTAGAAAAACTATAGATCTAATATTTTATATATTGGAATTATAATTTTGTTGTTATTTTTGTACTATGAGGGTTATATATTTATTAATCATTTTATTAAAATTATAATTTTTCAATATATTGTCAATTATAAATTTTTATAAAAATGTTTGAAACAAAAAAATAAAAAATATTTTTTTTGATAAAAAGGTTTTATTTAATTTTCATATTTTATGTCTCTTGTATCATATTTTTTAAGATAATTTTTTATTTTATTATAAATAATAAATGAAAACTGTTATCTTTTAATGATAAACCTACCTTTTTTCTTTGTTTTCTTTGCTTTCTTATATAAAAAAAATTACTATGTGGAAAGCAATTAAACACGTTGATTGATGAGATGACTTTAAGTTTCAATGGGAATCGTTTCTATTAAGGGATAACTTTAATTTTAAGCATATGTATGATTGTTTTATTTATTGACATATTTATGATTGCATATAGTATTGATATTTTACTATTTCTTTTAAAATATTTATTAAAATATAAATCTAAAAAATAAAATTTATATTTTCAAACATTAATCATTTCACAAATATCATCAAATTAGAAGCCAATTTTAGTTGACAAATGTGGAAATTGGAAACCAATTAAAGCCTTTGCAAAGGCTTACTATTAGTGTTAGTTATTAATGATTTGAATCCCCAAAGTTTAGTTTTTTATTGAAGTCGTTGCTTGACAACTAATTAATTTATTTAATTTATCAACAAGATTCAATCGGTTAAGGTCATTTTTTTCGATGAAAAAGTCTTAAGTTCAAGTTCTATCGGTGGTCATTTGTTGATGTTATCTTGAATGCACGATCTGCAGTCACTTATGTTAGATCATCAGGTACGGCACATCTTATCTTGACTTTAGAAACTGAACAACTTATTTATCTCTAAATTTTCAAAACCACAACAAAAAAATTATTTAATTTATAAAAAGGAGAGTTCCAATTACAACATTGTGACGTTTTGATTAGGCAAAAAAGTTGACAAAAAATAATTGGCTTCCCTTTTTCCCGTAACTAGCACATGCACTTAAATTTGACTGGACTGTGAATTATTTTCTTAACCAGAATATAGTTTGTTTATTTTTATTTGTCATCCCACTTGGTACTAATAAATATACATCAATCTTAATTAACATTGTTAGGTTAACAGAATTTTCCTCAACAAAAAAGTTTGGTGAGATTCAATGTATGAGCACAAACCCCAAACATAAATGGTCCCATTTTTATTTGTTTGACTTATTGGGAACAAAATTTTTCCTTTAATAAATTTTATTTAGAGTACCAAAAAAGAAGTAAAAAAATTCGTTTGTTCTTATAATTATAGTATATTTTTCTATTTTATGAAATAAAAATGAATCTATTGAATTAATAATTATTGTATTTTTTGTTTTAAAAATAACAATAGGGTTTGCAAATTTTTTTCAATTTCACTCTTAATTAATTAAACCTTGAATGGAAAATTTTTTCAAATTATAGTTCCTTTATAAAAAAAAAAAATCTTTTACCTAATTGCGAAGAGTTAATCAAGATTTTCAAATGGTTTGATTAAGGTAGTAAAGCGTCTAGTTTAACTATAGATCTAAAGAGATCAACCTTGCAAATTGGTCTTTAATTATTCATATGTAGATAATAGGGACAACTTGATGAATTGAACCCCAAGGCCAAAGCCATCTATTGTTTGTAATAGAACTTTGGGTCAAGTTTTCGATAACTTACTTGGAATTACCTTTCTTGTTTCATCTTACATGTTGGTACTATGGCATCGAATCCTAAATTGCATAGCTAGATCTCCTATTCTATGAAACTATATATGCAACCACAAATAGTAGTTTGACTCGAGATTGTTTCTTGATTTTGATTTCTTCATCGAAAGAAGGTTTAAGATTTACTTTTAAAAAATAATGTTTAAGATTCAAATCTTTTGTTCACCTTGAACTTTTCTCGGTTGTATACACGAGAAAAAAATAATTACACTCGTGACATTAGTAATCATCTCCTTTTGTTTATTTGAAAATTTAATAATTTGTATATTTATATAATATAAGATATTAATGCTTTCATAAAATTTAACATAGATAAATTTATTTGGATCAATTCAAAAATGAGGTATACTAAACAAAATCCAAGAATCTTTTGATGATAAATAAAAAAATATTGATAATTCATATATATTTATTATATTTTATGTAAAAATTATATATCATAATTCATATTTTATAGTTTTTAAATTTTGTTAAATTCAAACAAAATTTTTATTAAAAATTTAAATTATATCATTTTTATATTATTTTTATATTATATTATCATATTATTTTTTAAATTGCCCTTTCCTTTTTAATTCATCTTACGTGTTGGTACTATGGCATCAAATCCTAGAACGCATGGCTAAGTCTCTTACTCTATGAAACTATAGAGGCAACCACCAACATCTTACATGTTGGGATTATGGCATCAAATCCCAGAAGCATGGCTAATTCTCTTATTCCATGAAAGAGGCAACCACCAATAGTGGTTTGACTAGGGATTGTTTCATGTTCTCTTTTTCGAAAGAATTAAAGTTAAAATTTTATATTTCAAGATTCAAATCTCTTGTTCACTTTGAACTTTCTCAACTGTATGGATAAAAAAAATATTTAATTGTACTTTTTTGATAAATTATTTTATTATTTCTTTTTCGATTATACTTATGAAAAAATTAATTTAGTTACACTTTTGTTGATTAATTGTTCCATTATCTCTTTTTTGGAAAAAAAAAAAAAAGGTTTGATATTCAAATTTAAAAATATAAGGTTTAAGATTTAAATCTTTGGTTTATTTTGAAATTTTCTAGATTGTACTTATGAGAAAAAATAATTGACTTAATTGTATTAGAATTATTTAATCATAATATTAAATTATATAAAAATTAATCACATATAAGTGTGGATTTTATATAAAATTTTGATGTAACTCATAAAATTTTAATGCACTTCCCATAATTTTAAATATAATTGATTAATTATATTATAATGATGTAGGCAATATATTTTCTTTAATAGAATTCAAAATTTAAATTTTTAAAAAATCAAATTCAAGATTCAAATCTCTAGTCCGTCTATTTTTCTCGATTGTATGCAACAAAAAAAGAAAAAAATTGATCTAATTTTACTTTTAATATTAATAAAATCATAATATAAGCGTGGTACTGATATGAAGTAGGGGTGAGAAAAAAATCTAAAAATTAATCCAAAATTATAGTATTCGATTTGATTCAAATTAAATTCAAATATTAAAATATATTAGATTTGGATCAAATTTTGGATTGAGAAGTAAAAAATTAAAAAAAATCAAATCGAATTATATATATTAATTTTTATATATTTTAAAATTTTATAAAATTAAAATAATAATTTTATATCAAAAGATATTAAAATTTTATATTAAAATAATATATAAAAAAATAAAAATTGATAAATCGAACCGAACTGATAAAATTTAATTTAGTTTAATTCAGTTTGAATTCAGATTGAATTTTAAATTTTTATAACATATAATATAAAAAAATTAAATCAAATCTGATCTGAATCAAATCGTTATCACTCTTATCACAAAGTAAATATAGGATTAGGTTTTCCTATAATTATGAAGGTTAAAGAGAAGGGGAAAGATTGGAAATAAAATCAGTCACAAACTAATTTTCTCTTATTTTAAACTTCATTAGTTGATAGGAAAGTATCGCTTCAATCATTTAACAAGAGAAAGAAAACGAGAAAAAATAAAAGACAATTAAAGTACCTTTTTTGACAAAGAACCTTTCCTTTGGTTGGTTTTCTATAATTTCTTATACCGAATATATGAAAATAATTTATATAAATTTTCTTTTTTTTCTTTTGTTTTTTTTTTTAAATTTTTTGATTAAATTTAATAATTTGTGCATTTTTTTATATATTTCATATATAAAATATAAAAAATATAAAATTATTGTGTTACAACTCATATTGATACATTAAATATAAAACATATATTTTTATCAAATTTATTTAAAAATTTTATTTAAATTTTAAATTATATCATTTTTATATTATTTACATATAATTTTTATATCATATCATCATTTCATATTTAAAATTATTAAATTTATTTTCAATCCCTCTATCTTCTTTTCTTTATATCAAATATAATGTTTATAAATAATGACCATAAATGTAGTAACATTGATAAAATGATATCAATACTTATTACTTAAAGAAAAAAATTTGAAGATTGTATAGTTTAAATACCAATCATGAAATTGAAATAATAAAAGATAATGTCATAAATGATCCATGATTTATAATAAAATATTTAATATAATATTAAAATTTAACATTTTTTTAATATAATACATATAATTAATTATAAATATGTTAATTAATATAATATTTAAAAAATTATTTATTTATTAAATGTTATCATTTAAAATTAATCTCATTAAAATAAATACTAAAATAATTAATAATTAATAATTTAAATATTATATTAAAATTTTAAATAACCCACATTAAATATTTCATTACCAGAAGACAATAAGCATAATAAAAAAAAGTTTGTGGTGACGTAAAAAAAATCACCCGCGTGTGCTGGAAGCAAAACCTCATAGGACATTTCCCCATCAAGCATCCTCTTCGGTATTTTTTTCATACTCCTTTTAGCTTTGGACAAACCTTTGATTTTTTTTTCCTTTTCAAATCGTTATTCTTCTCTTTTTCTTTCAAATTCTTCCTTTTATTGAGCACGAAAAGCCATGTATCCATCATCTTCGTCTCAAAAACCCATTGGCCAGACCGGACTAACCCGTTACGGTTCAGCCCCGGGCTCCCTGCTAACAACCGCAGTCGATTCCGTCATCGGAGCTGGTCCTAGCCTTGTCGGCCACTACTTCTCAGCTGACTCATCGCCTTTAACATCAGAGTCAACTTGTAAAGTCAGCTCATCTAACGATCGACAACAGCCTAAATCTGCCCCTCCTCCTCCTCCTGCTCCCCATGGATCTTACGCTGCACCTTCTTCTTCTTCTTCCTCTTTGCTCAGACACCGTAGCTCTCCTGCTGATTTCCTTAGTCATCTCACAGCCGAAAACGGTAATGCTTTTGTTTTCTTTAAAAGCTTTAATGACCGTTAAGTCCAATCATTATCCACTTTGTGGTAGTTTTTGGGGCTTTTCAACTTTCTTTACATTGATTGGTGGCTTTTGCGTGCCTGCGTAATTTGCCGCCGTTGCTAAGAACTGCGTTGGCCCAACTTTAGATTGACAAAAATGTCTCTTTCCTTTAAGTGTGTTTGAACTTTTTTTTTTGCTTTTTTAACAAATTTTTTTTTTTTTACCAAACTTACATAAAGGTAATAAAATTTTATGAGTAAAATTTATGATGAATTTCAAGAAGTTCTTTTAAGTAAATAAAAATTTTAAATTAATTGATAGGGTTTAATGAAAAAGTTAACAATATGTAATATAAAATAATTATTAAACATATTATTTATATAATTTAAATTTGATGGATATAATTTAATAATAAAAATTTTATTAATATTTTTATTAAAAATATTTATTTAATAAATATATCAAAATTTATTAATTTTTTTATAAATTTACATATTTAATTTATATTATGAAATTTTTAATCTGATTTTTTATTTTAATTTTTATTTACTTATTTCTAAAAAAATCTACAAATTTACTTAGGAAATTTTATGTAATTTTTTTTCATTTCTTTTATCTAAAATGTCATGATTAAATATTTTAGTGCTGATTGAAGCAAAGTTGGGTTATTTCCAATTTTTTAATTCTAGCTTGTCAAAGTAATTTTTTTTTTTTACAAAGTAAAGAAAATAAGAGAAATGTTTTAAGTATTGAAATTTGAACTAAATAAATAAGATTTTATTTTTTAAATATAATTATATGAATAAATTAAATTAAGTTTCGAGTAAATTTGTACTTTTATTGAGAGATTCCATCAATCTTTTCTTACTTGTTTCATTAAGATAATTTCCTAAACCTGTTTGACAGCATAGTTGCCATGTTCATAATTATTCTTAAAACATCCCATAATCACCCTTTAGAAATCTACTTTGATCCTCATAAATGTGTATTTTCTTTCTTGTACATCTTTAGACTTTGTATAATTAAAAGCTAAATGTTGCAAAAGACAACGACATTTGAAGAAAAAAAGTGTATTTCAATATGGGTTTTTGTGGGGATCATTTGCTACCGCTTTTGTTTTGTGTTTTATGAAAATTGGAAATAAAATTGTGTTTGGAAACATTTGTTGTTTTTGATTTGAAAACCAAAAAATAAAAATAAAATTTTGAAAAATTTTAAAAATTGTTGGAAGCAAAAAAAAAAAAAAGATTTTTTAATATTTTGGAAACATTTCAATCACTGTTACTGTACGGCTGAACAATACCCGTGCGTGAACAGTGTCGATTTTAGTGTCAAAAGTTGAAGGATTTTATTGTCAAAAGTTGAAGATATCCATCGATTTTAATATAAAAAAATTGAGGATATCCATGAATACTGCCAAAGCTTGGATTCAAATCCCTTATCATTTTCATGATTCACACTCCAACCACTTTTCTTTGTGGTCCCTTGTTGTTAAATTACTTCAAGAATTTAACCGTTTAGCCAATAAGGATTTTGCAACTGTTTGATTTGTGAAAATTATTTTTTTATTTTTTATTTTCGTTTTTTGGAAAATAATTTTTATTTTTTAAAAAATGTATTTAGTAAAAGAAAATAAAAATTATTTTCTTAAAATGCAAAGATATAGAAATAAATAAAATATTTAATGATATTGACATCAAATTATAAATATAATATATATTTATTAATTAATGACATTAAAAAACATTTAAATATGATAACTTGTAAAATAAAAAAAATTAATGTATATCTTTTTTTTTCACAATTATAAATATTTTTTTTATTTTCATATTTCAATACATTTTCATTTTTATTTTATAAAAATTTGTTTTTATTTTTAACTATCAAACACGTTTTTACTCATATTTTTTATTTTTCAAAAAAAAATGAAAGTAGAAAATGATTCTGTTTTTTTTTTTTTTCTAAACCAAAGACTACTTCTAAACATGTTTTCAAGTTTTTTTTTTTTTTTCTGGCCAAAGTTTTTAAGTTCAATAAAAAAAAAAAAACTAAACAAGAAATGCCAACAATGCCAAACAATCATGTAGTTAACATTTTTATTAGCTAAAAAATTCATAATTTTTTCAATCATATCTTTTATAGTTACAAAAAGTGACTTTTAAATATCGTGATCTGTTATTTATGATTTAAAAAATCTGGGATTGACAGATTATTCCAACACAAATTAGGTTATAAAAATCTAGGATAAATAGATTATTCCAACCCAAGTTAGGTTATAGTGCCAAGTTCATTATATATATGAATAAAAGTGAATTATCGAAAAGCTTTCATCTGATCATTTTCAGGCTTCTGACAGCATAAAAATGTTCATTTTTTTTGTACTACTTAAATGGAAACAAAATGGAGGGTAGACATCAGAAAGAAAAAGAAAAACAAAAGAAGAATAAAATTAATGGTTAGACAAAGTTATAGATGGCCAATCTATGCAACCCACCATGTTTTTTGCTGGTAGATGAGGTCTTACAGGGTATCTGTCTCGTGCCTCACATGACCCCACCGGTTTCTTAGGAATCCAACATTATGCTTTTATTTTACCTGATCAAAAATGATATAGAAGCATAAAATAGTGTTATATGCTTTGTGGGGTGAATATTTATGATGTGCAAGTTGGACAAGTTGCAATAAAGTAAGATAAATGAGCTTTGTAGTGCAGTGTGACACTACAGTGGGATAACAGGGAGTTTGAAGATTGCCCATGTTCATGTTTGTTTAACTCTTATGTTTCAGGAAAATTATAACATTCACAAGGGGCTTATATACTGGACTTGCCACATATTTATTTAACTACAAAGAAAAAATTAGTAAGTTAAGGTAATTACTTAAATTAACACATGTCAATAATAAAAACATGCTTTCCTTAGGAGTTTAAAAATTTTCATTGTCTGAATATTTTAATAAATTTATGTCTAAATTCTTGTTTTTCTTGTTTACTTTGAAAATTAAGTTAGATTAAATAATCATATAACTAGATGAGTCTAGATTATTTGTGCTATAGATATGATAAACATGTGGAATGACAAGGTAGAGCAGTACCCAAAAAAAAATAATAATAAATAAAAAAAATGCAAAATTTTAAGGTTGCATTTTAGAACAATTGAAATTGTATTCATTTCATTTGAGGATGAATTTTGCAACAAAAAATTATTTAATGATATATTATCATGTTTAAAACTGTTTTCTAGATTGTAGATTCTAAATTAAAACAAGTTATAGGCTTCAGATGAATTCTGAAAAGACTATAAATTTCAACCATTCCAAAAGCTACCTAAATTTTTTTTTCTCAACAAATGACCAAGTTGAGTTGGTCCAACCCAAACGTGGTTGAAAATTTTTTTTGGCCAATAAACGTGGTTGAAATTCACATTACCTGACTTTGTGATGTGTTTGATTCATTATACAATGTGATTTTATTTTGATGGATCACATGAAGTGAATTAAACACTCTTATTGCAGGTTTTTCTGTTACAAGGGGCACCAGAAATTACAGCTTTCAAGGTGGTGCTAATGGTGGCCATAGAGTGCCAAGATTGAAGTCTCAATTGAGCTTCACTAGACAAGACTCTCTTTCTCAAATATCTGAAGTAAGTGAGAATCTTGTTGACGGTGTTAGCTCTAGCAGTAACCACCAAAATGCTGCACATTCATTTGCTGCTGCTGGATTTGGAATGGATTCATGGGATAATACAAATTCCATTATGTTTTCTGCCCCGCCAAACAAGAGGTCTAAAAGTATAGATGGCGATATTTATAGCTGTCTAAATGCCTTGGAAACTCAGGTAGATCTTTCTCCTTGTTTTAAATGACATTGAAATCAAGGAATTATAACTTAATGGTGTTTATTTCTTATAAGAAAATGAATATTTGGGAGGTTATTATTTCTCATCCTGAGCTCAATATGGTTGTTTGTCAAGTAGGAGCATAATTTGCAGCTAATGGTAGCGCCATCCATTAGTTTGTCATCACTTTGATGAATAACAATGTGCTTTACAGTCGTGTCATTAACTTCTCATTATTGGCCTTCTATACTTCCATTCAATCTTTATTTCAGTTTAGTTTGCCCCAAACAACACTTGAGATGGCCACAGTTGAAAAGCTGCTAAATATTCCTGAAGATTCTGTGCCCTGTAAAATCCGAGCCAAGCGTGGCTGTGCCACTCACCCTCGAAGCATTGCTGAAAGAGTAAGTTAAGATTCAAGAGATAGAATTACTAGAGTATGGATTGCTGTAACTGCTTAGAAAGCAAATTGCTTATTCTTTAAAAATTCTGTTGATGTTAATGAAGGTTCATACGACCAACCTATAGCCTTTTCAAATAACCAGTTCTTTCAAACTTCAAGTTCTGTTTCAGAAAGTTCAACTTCTTTCTTATATACCTTTCGCATGTAGGACATTTCTAAGGACTATTGGCAAAAGTTAGTGTGATGCTGAAGTTATATTGCTGTTAGCCGTGCACTTATTACATCCATGAATCACGATGTTCATTCAATTTTAACTTTGCTTTCGAGAATGAAACTTTTGACAGTGTTAGGCATTATACAATATGAAGGATCACAAATAGATATTCATTGCCCCCTTGTAATTTTTTCACTTTTCCTCGTCTTGTGGCTTGGAATTTTATTTGACGTGCACATGAAAAGTATTCTTGCCGTGATATCCAAGAAAGAAAGATGGCAAGCAAGAGATCTTCTGCATGGTACAGACCGTATTCCCTGATGCATCCACTGGAACAAAAAATCCCTCATACCTGCACAAGCATGGTATTTCTGCTCCTTTTATGGAGTAGGTGACAAGTACGATAGCACTAGAGAGCTGCTAATGAGTGCAAGAATATGATCTGCATTTCTATTTATTGATTCTATAGGTGTAAAGGACAGCTTGTTTAATAGTAATAGAACATCTTATTGTGCGTTTGGATCATATAAGTGACGGTTGGATAATTGATAATGCTCAATGCCATTTGCTCGTATTGTTGCCTTGAAAAATGTACTTCCATCATACACTATGAACTTATGGTTGGTTATTAAGATACATGAGCATAGCATATACATATTCTTTATTCCGCCTAAGGAATGATAAATCATACCAAGCATCATTAAACTAGTTATATATGTACAGGAAAGAAGAACAAGAATAAGTGGCAAGTTGAAGAAATTACAAGAGCTTGTTCCTAACATGGATAAGGTAATCACATTTGTCTTTTCTGGACCTTAGATTGAGTCTATATTTGGGTTGCTCCAAATCAGTCATTACCTTACAAAGATTGTGGACTTATGTTTTTCCAAATTATTGTCTAAGGGATCCAATTGCAAAGTATAGACGTTGTTTTCGATGAAGATAACATACCTTTAAAATCTTCTTGTAGCAAACGAGCTATGCAGACATGCTGGACTTGGCTGTGCAGCATATTAAAGGCCTTCAAAATGAAGTTCAGGTCCGTACATATGTCATGCTGAATTACAAACAGATCATTATATGATGCTTCATTTGGCATAGAAATGTGTTTCCTTGAAGCCCCTAGAATTAGATAGCTATGATTCTGAACATGATGGGTACTTTTTATAATTGGTAATGATATAAAATCTATGATACATGTGTGTATGCACGTGTGAAATATTATAGGATATTCGTATGGAATCTTGATGCATTATTTAGTGCATTGTAGAGTACATTTAATTCATTAACTTACTCTTGGGCAAAAAAAAAAAAAAAACCATCAACTTTCTTACTGTTATTTTCTATTGTATTTAAAGAGGATAAATCTTGTGAACTGGAATTCAAGGGTATTTCCAAAACTAAGTGCGTTCAATAAGGCTGGAGTTGTATTCAACAAACCCATAACCGGGAACCATTGGATCTAATGCTTGAGAAAGGCCTTGATGGATAATATCTAGGTTGTCAGATGGCTTCCTTCCTTGGTCAAATAACATTTCACCAACACCTGTTCCGAGCAAGAATTGCGCTGTAGCTAAAAGTTGCATGCAGCTCCCTACACCTATGGCTATCATTAATTTCTCCTTGGAAATGCTACATTTGTTGAAAAGTAGAAAGTAGTCTTTCTTGTTATGCTCAAGCCTATTTCATGGCAATGCTGCTTGCATATATGATATTAGGCTAATATAGTAATAACTCAGTCTGCTGTTCATATCATGTGCAAAAGGTAAAACATGAATACCATTTTTATCTGTTTGCGAATCTTGAAAATGACTTCGAATTCCAACATTTTGGCAACTTTCCTTCTGGTCTTTGTTTGATATCTGTATTTTCCTTCGTGCAGAAACTCCACAAAGAACTCGAAAGTTGTACATGCGGATGCAAACCACGTTCATGATGTTTGCTAACCAGGTTAGATTTCCAAATTTTGAAGGTGGGGATATGCTTAATGAGGCAAGACTAATTTTGTTGTCTTAGTTTGACTGAATAATGCAAAGGATAGAACTTGAAAATGTATATAATGGAGTGACATTGTTCCCTAGTTTAAGAAGAGGTTGAGTTGGAAAATGCAAAAAAAAAAAAAAAAGGAAAATAAATTTGTTGAATGGAAATTGTAATTCTGTTTTCCTTCTCTGTTAGATTTAGTGTCTGTCATGTAATATATGTTTTGGCTTTTGTATTTTAGATGGGAATGAAGAATTCGGTTGATGTTTGGGGTATTTAATATTTATTCATGCAACAACTTTTTAAAATGTTAATGTTATTTTTTTTTTTTTTTCCTATATAATTATTGCTTTTAATTTTGTTTGCATCTTATTTGTGATGTCTGACTTATCAGTTTATGTAAATAAGGTCTTTTATAACTAGGATAATAATAACATAAAGAGTTAATGTTAATGGATTTTGAATTATAATGAAATATAAAATAAATTTTATGAATGGTAATTCAACTATTACTCATATTTTAAATAGGGTACTAAACTTTAATTTATTAAAATATATTAAATTTAATTACCTTAACAAATTTCATCCATATAATGAATGAAAATAATTTTTTTAATCCAAGCACTAAAATTTTCTTTCACTTTCTCGTCTCGTTTTCTCTCGAGTTGACAGTCTTCCAAACACATCTGCTCTCACCCATCGTTACATATATGCAGCCTCAGTTGAATTCACAAATATAATACTACTATAATTAACTAAACTAAGTGAAAGTTTTAATTTGGGTCTGGTGCGGAACAACTTCTTGCCAAATTTTCATTATATTTGGATAGGCAATGCTATTTTATCAGGTATTTTCTATTTTTGTTTGGTAATCCAGAATTTAGTAAGTTAGAGCATCGTATTTTCTGCTATTTGTTCAGGAAAGATGCCACGAATGATTTTGCAGATGTGGGCCACGGTAATTTTGCAAGGGAAACGATGGAAAAATACATTGGTCAGAGGAACGAAAATTTTGAAAGAGAAAAAATAAAACAAAATGTTTAAAATATAATCTATATATATATATATATATATATATATATATTATAATAATATACATAAATAAATTTGTCGCATGGCATCTATGTAGATAATTTTCTTAAATGACACATAAGTTATTTTTTTTAAATAATAATAATTTCTTTTAATTACAAATTAAATATTTTTAAATTTATTCAAATATTAAAATTATTTAAATCATAATTAAAAATCAAATTAATTTAGAGATATATTAATTTAAAATATTTTTTTTAAAATTTAAAATCAATTCAAATATAATATTAAAATCAAATCAATTTAGAGATATATTTTTTAAAATAAAAATATGAAATATGGATTTTATTTTGTAATAAATAATTTTAGTTGTTTATAAAATAACTTTATTTAAAAAATTATTTAATTATTAAAATCTTTCAAACATGTTTAAAAATTATAAAGATTAAATTTATCGAAATCTTTCAACAATCTTTTTTATCTTAATTTAAAAAATTATCTTTTTAAAAAATTTATGTAAGACATTAAAAATTCAAGTAACTTTACATAAGATTTTAAAAATTTTTAAATTTTTCATTTTAAATTTTTAAGTAATAAAATTATTAAAATTATTATATCCATTTGAACTCTAATTATCAATTTTATAATTCAAATAAATGCAAAAAAAATTAATATTATATTTATCACTTATTATATCTATTTTAAAATTTAAAAAATTAATTTAAAAATTATCTATTTAACATTAATTGTCACTAAAAAATTTTCTACAAATTTAAGACTATAAATGTAATGTATTATACATCAATATTTTTTATTTTTTCAATAATTTTTTTAAGGTATATTCTATTACTGTTGCAATTTGTTTTTTTATAACTTTTTTTCAAAATATATTTTATTGTTATTACTATTTCATTTTTATGAAAAATAATATTTTTTAATTTATTTTTTCACATATTTTCACATATTTTGCATAATAATTTAGTTAATATTAATAAAGTGAAAGTGTGTTAATACTTATTTTATTATTTAATTTATTATTTAATAATATATTTTTTTTAATAAAGAAATAATTTATTTTTATTTGATATAATTTTACAGATATATAAATATTATTGTAAACAAAAATATCCAAATACAAGACATAATTTTTTTCTTGTTATTTTCATAAAGTTTATTTTTTAATGACAAGTCACTATATATAAATTTTATATATATTATGAGTTTTAAAAATTTAAATATAATTCAAAAAAAAATTAATATACATGTATTTATATATATATTCATATTAAATAAATAAAATTATTTCGTGCATCATATAATTTATAGTCTAATTTACTATAATTTATATGAATTTAAATGAGATGAAGTGAGAAAATATACGACAGTTATCATTTGCTATTAAAGTTTGAAAGATATCTATTAAAGTGATCATATTTATTACGCTTAATAAATTTTAATGATATTTTAAGATAAATTAAATTTAATGATTTATTTAGGACACGAGTGATAGTTTAATGATTATTCACTCATAGAACTTTTTTTTAAAATATTTAATGTAATATTTAAATTTTAAAAAAATTTAATAGATATTTAAATTATAAATTTATAAATTTTTATTATATTTAAAGGATTATTTGTTCATTAAATACTGTTATTTAAAATTAATCATGTTAAAAATAAAAATTCTATTATTGATACTTCAAATAAGTTTGGTATATAAAATATCATTTACACTTTGCCGAGTAAATATGGATTATCATATTCATACTTGGGTGAGTATAAGTAAAATTTTCCTTTCTCAAATTACCTTGCCAAATGCCAACTATAAAAAAAAAAAAAAAATCCTTTGGGTCTATTAATAATAAGTGCCAATTTTCGTTATTAAAATGGGACCTCATTGACAGTAGATAAATCAGTTCGAATTTTATTATAATTCATTTTTTATTTAAAATTATTCAATTTGATCACTCTAATTAAAAATTAAAATTTTATCAACAAATCACGCTAAAAATTTAATGCTATGTCAATAAATCACTTTGATTTTATCATTAGAACGAAAAATTATTGTATATTCATTTAATAATTATATTAATATTTTAAAAGTTTAAACTATAATCTGATGAATAAATGAATTTTAAAATTTTTATATACAATTTTTTTTCATAAATAATAGATCATCAAACTACTAAGGAAATAAATTATGAACCCACTTCATGCGCGGTAACGTCATTGCCAGCTTTGCTTCGGACAGAACTTCCGCCCCACATCCCATTGGCCTGTCTCTCTCATCCTTTTTCTTGTTTCTTAACACCAAAATCCGACCGCAAGAAACCAAAACCAAAGCCAAAGATATGTCGGACGAGGAAGAAGGAGGAGAAGAGTACCTTTTCAAGATAGTGATAATTGGAGACTCTGCAGTTGGCAAATCCAACATCCTTTCACGCTACGCTCGAAATGAATTCAACCCTCATTCCAAAGCTACCATAGGAGTTGAGTTTCAGACCCAAAGCATGGAAATCGATGGCAAAGAAGTTAAGGCTCAGATTTGGGACACCGCTGGTCAAGAAAGGTTTCGTGCTGTCACTTCTGCTTATTACAGAGGCGCTGTCGGTGCTCTTGTTGTTTATGATATTAGCAGGAGAACTACCTTCGATAGTGTCGGTCGCTGGCTTGATGAACTCAAGAGTAAGTTTGGTTATTGTTTTCTTTGCTGCTTTTGTAACTACCCTTTTCTTGGTTTTGGTTTCCTATCTGGGTTCTTTTAGCTTGCTGGATTGAATGAATTTATATGGATTTTAAAGAGGTTTTATGGTTTTGCCTTGGAATTGGAGGATTTGGTGGTTTATGAGAATTAGGGGATATCTTTTTGGTAATATTCACAGTTTAACTTCAATTGGATCATTTTTTTTTTTTTTGGTTGAGGGTAGTGGTGGATTGGATTTTAACATTTCCTTTTGGTGGATTTAGAACTAAAAAGGAGTGATACACGAAGATCCATGGGAATTTTTAGTTGGTTGGTGGTTTTTTGGTCTTTTTTGTGTGCCTTTTTCAGGATTCTATCTTGATTTGTTTATTCGATCGATTATTGTGGGTTATAGTATTAGATCTGATGCTGTAATGATAGTAGCGTAAGGCTTAGGCTAGAAGAAAGCTGAAAACAGCAATAACAGGAGTCCCTAGAAGAAAATAGCAAACAGTTGACAAGGACTGGCTTTCTAGGCCTTTTTTACTTTCATGCCCCTAGGGTGGATTTTATCTGTTAATGTAACATTTGTTCGTACATGATATTTGTTAACTTGCATGTTGCCAATTCTTACCTTGTGTTGCATATTGGTAGACAATGCACTTTTCCAGGCAGAGTTTTTACATGCGAATTTCCAATTTCCATAGATGTATAAGTGGTTTTCAGAAGATATACAACAACTTATGATCTTGGATTTAGTCGTTCAACTCGTTTGACTGTTTATTGTTCTGGAGAGTGGAGACAATGTGATTATTAGGTTATTGTCATTTTCTCCTTTTCCCCCATTGTTTTCTGCTGATATTCATTTTTTTTTTCTTATAGAACATGAACCAAGGTTGTCAGAAATAGGATTTATCCTGAAATTGTTAGGATTATTGGACCACATCCTTTGCAGGACAATGCTTCCTATGTATAGTTGTTTCTAGGTTGGCATCTAGGACTTGTTCCAGCTAATGGATGCATGTAACTGATAGAGAGTGTCTTTTAGGTGGCCATAGGATGACAAAGATGTAGTAATACAAAAAAAGAATAGCCACAAGAATGGAAGCCTTCTCATTGCTTGGGGATGTTGGAAGGCGATGAAATATGTATAGTTTCAGGGCTCAAGTCTTTAGGTGCACTAGCAGATTTTTGTATTTCATATTCTAGCAATCCTTCATAACTGCGGAAGATTTATCTCTCATTCGTAGACTTAAGCTAACTTTGTTCAATCCTATTTGACATTAGGCTCTGATGTCTGTGATTTTACTATTTGAATAGACCATAGGATTAGACACACTTTTATCAGTGGACATGTGGTTACTTTGGAAGTGCGTGGCTTTTGGATGGTTTGGTTAAAAAGAGGGGAAGGACACTCCATTTTGTTGTACACTTCTTGTCTGTTTCGGTGTTCAATGCTTGTATTTGTGTTTCCAATTCGTAGCTGTCCTCTGATTGCCCCCGTGAATGGTAAAGATGGACTTTGTCAACTTTTCAATATAGTGTTACTACACACTCGTACACCCCTATGCAGACAGGATTGTTGAGAAATATATATATTTGAAATGCAAATACTTATTTAGAAGTTGATAGGCAACTTGGAGAAAACTTTCCCTTTCTAATGGTTGAGACTAGCTACAAGAGTATCTGGATAAAATATAAAGACTCTCAAAGCTAGCCTACTTATTTCATATCAGTTAGGTCTCTTTTATAGGAGATCCTGGAACTCAAATGATCCTAACGTCCAAAGGAATATCAATTTACTGTTGATCCACTGGTGCCTTTGATATTCTTCTTCCTTTTTCTATTTTCACCAAAACTATTTCTAAGTTTCAACCTGACATTTATTTACTTGGCCAAATCTATTTGCTTCTGAAGGTTTACTGTGTTTCTAATTTCTGTCTGCCTTTATGCTTAACAGCGATATTTATATTTGCCTTAAAGTTCGGAGATGTCAGGGCTTGTGCTTACTAAAAACTTTGTGCAGCTCATTCTGATTCGACAGTAGCAAGGATGTTGGTTGGCAACAAATGTGACTTGGAAACTATTCGCGATGTGAGTGTTGAAGAAGGCAAAAGCCTTGCTGAAGCAGAGGGGTTGTTCTTCATGGAGACATCTGCTTTAGATTCAACAAATGTCAAGAAGGCTTTCGAGATTGTTATACAAGAAATATATAACAATGTCAGCAGGAAGGTCCTGAACTCAGATACTTACAAAGTTGAGTTAACCGTTAATCGGGTAGCCCTCACTAAAAATGAAACTGATGGATCGAAGCAATCCCAAAATTTTTCTTGCTGTTCCAGGTGATCTCGTTCATTCAGAAAGGGTACAAGTGGAGGCCTTCACATGGTTTGTTACTTCAATTTGGTTGGTTGATTTGTTTGTTTGCCCGTTTCTCAATGGATATGCCTTCAGGGATTCTTTTATTCGTGAATAATATCATAGTATATAGTTAAATTATTGTCTTGTGGTTAAAGAAAATAATACCTAAAATTTTTTGTTTCTTGATACAAAGCTGTCCCTGCTGAAAGTGAAGCAGGCAGCCATATTATTTCACATTATATTACTATTTGTTTTGAATTCAATATCTCGCTATCAGATTCATTATTTCTAATAGCCATCAATAGTTTCTGACATCAGTGAACCAAGGCTTTGGTGGATAAGTCTTGATACTATGATTACTATTTCTTTGATAACTAGTTTCTGGAGGTTCTTGAGTTGTTATAACTAAACTGTAGATTTGTTTGTGCGTGATTGACGAGACATGCCTGCTCTAAATAGAGAAAAAGACCTGCAAGTGCCGAGATTTGAACTCAAAACCTGTTGGATATCACTTATTAAGGGTGATTGCATAAATCAGCCGGGTTTGTTAATATTCCTTTTTGCCTTCAAAACTTTTGGCTAAAGTTTAGATTCCATAATTCACATTTTTGATCAGACAAAAACTTTTAACATTGAATTGGCAGTGTTACTTCCATCCATAGTCATTGAAACAACCTTGCTTGGAGGCTGGAGGTTGAGTGAAGGCAGTTCAGACTTTAGATGATACTATTAGTAGTTAATGCCTGTTAAATTGGTGATAAAATTTTTCTTTTTCTGTGCCCATAATAAATCAATAAAATTTAGAAATTTCAATGGAAGAGAATTTTTGTTTGTCTCATTTTGAGAAAAGTGCTATAGGGTATAGTTCTGTTTTCATTGGCTAAAATTTGAATCCAATTCATATCAAAGTATGAATTTTAAAAATATTAAAAGAAATCGATTAAAATATTTTTAAAATTTTATTGAATTAATAATTTATATTTTTATAAAATTTATTTATTATTGAAATTAAGTATTTTTTTAAGTTAATAGTCATGATAAAATTAATTAATGTATTAATTAACTAAGATGGCTAAAATATTTTTGATAAAATTTTTTTATACAACAAATTGTAAATAAAAATAGAATTATTATTACCTTGGAAAATAATGTTAAACAATTTGCTAAAAAAATACTATCGGATTAGATAATAATGTGAAAGTCCAGGGAATGCTCGCTTGCACAAATACTTTTATTTTTTATTCATTTTTTTCGTTAATATTAACCAACTTACATTATACATAGATCAAACCACAAAACAAAACTTTTGGACCTAAATTTATAAATGAAATAATAACAAAAGATAATTCAAGAGTTGTATTTGTTTTAAATTTCAACGATAAATAATACTATTTTTCTCTTCTTCAAGTTAAATACCAAAAAAAAAAAAAAAGCTTACAGTTCAAAAAACTTAAAATCAAGGTAAATTCAATGTTATAAATTATAACAAAGCCAATATTAATTGTTTCGATTTATATTCTTGCCGATTGATTGCATGCTTTAGCCTCCCTATTTTTTCGAGGTATTGATGTCTTTTAAAGCGAGACAATTTTATGATGCTTGTTTCTTTAATTGTTATAAAAATAATAAATTATTAAAAATAATAGAATAGATACATAGCGATATAAATAAACCAAACATAAATGAACGAATGTATATTCGTGTTTGTTCATTTATTTTTAAAAGTGTTTGTGTTTTATTCGTGTTCCTTAAAAATATTACTCTGTTAATTCATGTTCGTTCATTTAAATAATAGATTATTCATGTTCTGTTCGTGTTCATTTAATTAAGTTAAATAAGTTTGTTCGAACATTATTCATGAATATTAAATGAATATGTTCACGAACATATATAAATGAATACATTCATGAATAATAAATAAACCATAACCAAATAAATTTAAATAAACAAGCTCTAAACAAATATAAACGAACCCAAATAAACATAAACAAATCTTAAAATATGATTAGGATAAAAGATAAAAATATAATTTTATTTGTATTATTATAAATGAATAACAAACGAATAACAAATAAATAATAAACGAACGAGTTTTAAATGAACTGTAAATAAGCTTATTCGTGAACATAAATAAACGAACAAATAATTGTTTATGTCTAGTTCATTTAATAAACGAACGTATCAATGGTGTTCAAAATCATTTGCTAAGCTTTGTAAATAAATATAAACGAATAAAACCCAAATATATTCACGCATAATTTGTTGAAATCTCTGTTCGTTTATACTTCATAAATACACATTTCTAGCCTAAAAATAAGCAATGAAATATAAGAATTTGCAAACAAATTGAGCTGCTAATTTTTTTTTTTTATATAGTCAATCCAAATATTCAGCCTATTTGGTGATTTTTAAAAATTTTTATTTAACTTAAAATTATTAATAAAATGTTTTAATATTTTTAAATCTTTTCATTTTAGTTCAACCTCAATTAACATTAGTGTTATTTTCATTATTAAAATACATAATAAATTTTAATTTGAAAGTTATAATACTTACATGTTAAGATATGAATATGACATAATGTTCACTGAATTAATAAGTAATTATAATATATTTTCAAGGAAACTTATATTTGTTTGGTCATGATTGATTCTCTTATTTGTTTGATTTTACTATTTTCAAATTATATTTTATATTTGCCACAATTTTTTTTAATCATATATGTTAACTTATTCAATAATTTAATAGTAACTTCTTGATTTATAATTAACTAAATGGCACATATGCACATATATGGGGATTAATAAAATTCACAAATAAAGCTTATAGAACCTTTAGATCTTTTACTTTGAAAATTATTCTAAAATAAATGAATATTTATGAGAATTAAAGCTAGCATTGAAACTTCACATTCAGGCTTTTTATTATAAATTATTATTAGTTCTCTTAATTTTGAGGAATATTTCCTATTCCCAAACTTGAATAATAACATTATTTCAAAGTCATTCTACATGATAACTACAATTATGCTTCTCATACACAAAGAAAGCTTGGTATTCATATTTTGTTAATTGTACATATTTAGTAATAAAACTTTGGTAAGGATAAAATTTGCTACTTTATGTTGTATTTTAATTTCTTGATTTTGGCTTAAGTGTAATTTTTTATATTTTAATCTTTAAAATTGTTTTAATTAAATTATTTAATTTTCATTTTATTTGAATATTCTTTTGAAAAACAAGTAATATACAAAGTTTGGGAGCTTAAATGATTAACCAAATGGATTAGCATTAGTTTAAGAGTCACCTCTTGAAAAGTTATTATGGTTCATGATATATATTTTTTATTTTTTACTTTAATTTAGTTATTTTACGTGTTTAGAATTTACTTGAAACCAGCAAATTTTTACTTTAGGGTTCCGATCAACCTATACGTGATTAATGTAAAAATAAAAATAATGTATGAGATATAAAAAGTTAAAAAGTTAAAAAATAAAAAAATTAACTGCATAATTAAATTTATAAAAAGATTGTAATAGTTAACTATATTTACATTTAATTTATTTTATTAATTTTCTATTATTAATATGAAAAGAAAATATTATATTGACATTCTTAGTTGATTTCTAGAAAGGAAATAGTATATTTATTTGATTTTATAACCTAGGCATCCTTATAATAAGTTGAAATACAATAACTGATGTCATGTTTTTATTTGATTGAATGAGAAGAAAAGTTATTAATTTAAGAAAGTAAATTTTGTATGGTAGAATAATGTTTAATCAAACAAAGAATTAAAGAAATACAAATTATTAATGGGGTAACTAAGGTGATTAACAAATTTACCGTATTAGTGTTTAAATATTTTAAAATTTACCTAAATAAAATCAATTATAATTTAATAAAAAAATAATTGATAATTTAATAATTAATTATTAAAAATTTAAAAACAAATTAATATAAATAAATTACAATCATCGATAACTTAATAATAAATTAATAATAATTTTTTTGTTTAAGAGGGCATAGCTTTTGTAAGGGGAAAGGAGGAGAAGATTCTAATTGGAAATCAGGACTTTTACATCCTCATAAAGATTTCTTAGCCACTAAACCAAAAGGGAAAGGACAATTCAAAAATAATTTAAAAATATATAATTGATAACTTAGCAATAATAAGTGATAACATAATAATAAATACATAATAACTTAATATTAAATCAATTATATCATAGCTATAAAAGCATAATAATAATATAGTATTAAATCAAGTATAATTAAATAAAAAATAAATTATAATTTAGTAGTTAATCATTGATAATTTAATAATAAGTAAATGATAATTTTATAGTAAATTAGTGAGTTTCAGTTTAATAGTAATCAAATGATAAATTTAGTAGTAAATTATAAATAATTTAATTGTAAATCAATGATAACTTGGTAATAAATAATTTATAACTTAATAATTAATTATTAAAAATTTAAAAGTAAATCAATATAACTTAATGGTAAATTATCGATAGCTTAATAGTAAATTATGAATAACTTAATAATAAATTAGTAATAATTTGGTAGTGAATTATGGATGATTTAATAGTAAATTAGTAAAAACTTTGTAATAAATAATTAAAAACTTAATACTAAATCAATGATAACATAGTTGTAAATACATAATAACATAATAGTAAATTTTGATAATTTAATAGTAAATTATCGATAACTTAGTAGTAAATCATTGATAACTTAACTGTAAATCATTAATAATTTAGTTGTAGATCAATAATAATTTAATAGTAAATTAGTTAATCATTGATAAATTTGTAATAAATCATCATTAATTTAGCAATAAATTAGTGATAATTTTATAGTAAATCATTAATAACTTAATAATAAATTATTATTAATTTTTTTAAATCATCACTAATTTAGTCGTAAATTATTCATAACTCAATAATAAATGGATGATAATTTAGTAATAAACTATTGATAAGGTTAAACCCTTGATAACTTAATAGTAAATAATTGATAATATATTAGTAAATTAATAATAATTTAGCTATCCATTAGTAATAACCTTTTTTACTAAATTTAAAATTTTATTTAAAATTTTTTATCATGGTAACAGTTGTTAGAAGTTTGATAACATTATAAAAGTTTGGTAACCTTTAATATAATTTTGTAACATTTTGATACCATTTTGGAAACATATGATATAGTTTTGATAGCTATTATTATAATTTTGGTAACCTTTTGATAGAACTTTGGGTAAATTTAGATAACTTGTGATGCCATTTTCATAACTTTTAATATAATTTTGATACTTAGATGATAAAAGTTGTAGTAATTAAGAAAGAAAATATGGAGGAGTACAATAACGCATAAAGATATAAAAATTCTTATAGAATTGATCCTCATTGATGAACATGTAAAAATCTTTAACCTTTTTTAGAATAATTTTGATATAATAATTGAATATTTTAGTATAATTTATAAATTCAATCTTAGTTATAAATTGTATGAACAAAAATTTCAATTATGATATTTAATGAGATAATAACAATTTTTCAATTTTCTTTGACGAAAAACATATTATATATCATATCATATGCATTTGTCAAATTTATTAAGAAGGATTATTTTAATGTTAACAAATAAATTGAGTTAATAATTATGTCTTACACCAACATTAAAAAGGTAAAAAACCTTAAGTTTGGAAAAAAATATTGTTTGATTGTTAATCAAGTTATAATAAATCAATTTTAATATTTTTTAATAATAATTAAATTAAAATAATCATCATAATATTAAATTTAATGTCTTTGTGTATAATATCTTATATAAATAAAAGCCA